ATTTTAAAAACTAGGAAATGATTTTGGAAAACATTGTTAAGTTTGAAGCACAAGTGTAATGAAAGTAACCAATCATGTATCAACTCAATTTTTGAGTGAACAGACAGAATTTTTGTGTCACTAGATATAGACCTTCATTACACTCTGAACTAATTAAGTCACAAATATTTATTAATAACCTCTTATTCCTTTTTTTTCTTTTTTATGTTATTCTACATCTAGTGATTACAGAAGGATGAAATCTAGCTTGTTGGAATTGTCTCATTAAGACGAATTGGAAGGCAATAAATCATGTAAAACATAAATAAGCTAATGTGTCTTATTATTTTTACTTCACTTGAAATTTTATAATATTTCTTCATATCTAGTGATTATATAAAAATAAAATTATAGTTCATTAAATTCGTCTTATCAAGACAAATCCAATGGCATTAAATTCTTATTTCTAGGTATAAAATTTATGAAGTTATGAGGTTATAAAAAAATTGTCAGTTTTTTCCACCGGTACTTTATAAATTAAAATTGAAAAACTTTTTTTTTGTTATTATACAGTATATATAAACAGATTCTTTAATTAACTTTAAAAAATAAATTTATCTTTTCAAGAGGATTCATCTAGATTGATCCATGGATCAAATTTGTAAAACCCCCCTTAATCTGTCATTCACCACGCGTTTTTTTAGATGGAAGATGATTTCCATAATCAACAAGCTGGCAGTGTATCGTGAAACGTTTGTTGGAACATTGTTTGAAACGTTGAACTTAATGTGAGACAATTTATGGGACAACTTAAAAAATGTCTGAGGTATAGAAAAAGTATATATTGAATGAATACTACTGGTTATTTATTATCATTAAAAAACTTTAATATTTTGATAAGATACAATAAAATTTAATTATGCAAAATAAATTTATCTGTTTAATGGGTTACATGTAATAGCGCATAACAATCATATTGTTATCACAGGAATTTGGTAAATATTAACAACCAAACCTTATAAGACTAATGTTCATTTCGCGCAAATGTTTCTCTGATTGTTGTAATTCCTCTCTTTTTCTTTTTATGCTATCATCTTCTCTAATCAATTCATCGATATTAAAATGTTCATCTTCATTTTGTTCTAATGCCTCGATAAGTTTCTCTTCAATGAGCCTTGAAAACCCATCAATAAAAGCGTGAATTATAGTCAAAGAGACAGCATCAGCATATCTCTTAAATGCAAGTTTGAAGTATGCCATAACTGAAGCTACCATTTCCAATGTATCAGATGGTTCACGCTCTTCAATTTTAACCGCTTCGTGAAGCTTTTCAAGATAATTAGTCTTTGAGATTAACATGGAACCTTCATCTAACGTGAAAGGATAATTAGTTCCTTCCATTTCATTCAGAAAATTAATATAATTCTCGGTACTTCGTTTACATTCTTCAAGGAACGCCTGTGCATTGAACCTTTTTTTTTTTTAAAAAAAAAAAAGAGTAAATAAATATCAATAAGGAAAGTTATTTAGATTCCAAATAAAATCTTAACATACTTCATTCGACCGAACAATTCCGGGAAACGTGAAAAAGTTTCTTCAGTAGATTTATTTACAAGCTCCGACATTATTTCATTAATATGATATAAACATTCTTCAGCTGGCGATTTCCATAATTTTTGGTGTTCCTTTATAAATTTTGTTGCAGCACTATATGGAATAAATCCAGGTAATAAACGTCCGCGAGCTTTATTTATACCTTCGATTACGTCATTTTCTCTTACTATACGTAATTCATCTTGATCAATTTCACTAATATTTTCGTTTTCGCCAGCATTTGGTTGTAAAAATTCTTTTAAAATATCAAATCTGGCGGCACTGGATTTGTCACTATTAAGACCAATTTCGAAAATTGGACGCGTGGAACAAAGGTTATACTTGAAATTTTGAAATTCCTTATTAATTGCTTGCCATAATTCTGTTTGTTCATTAGAACATGTGGTTTCTAATTGAATAAGACTAGAGCACTTTTTGGTCATTCGATAAAGTTCAATTCGTGTATTGCCACTAAGTTGTTCTGGAATAGTTCCAAGCTCTTTGGTGATCTATTGATATAACAAAAAACGAATAAGTAATTAATTTTCAAGGAAAAATATATCGTTAATTACATACAATTGCGAGCTTGTCTTCAACTTCTTTTTTAATGGAAGGAAGATTACGTTTAATTGCTTTAATCAATAATTCAGATAATTTCTCCTGCAAAAAGGTTACGCCCAATCGTTTTCTTGGATGGAAATTTTTCCAAGGCGTTTCGTATTCAAAAAACTAAGTTTTACAAAAGAAATATAGTTAAAAATTCAAATTACTTTGATAAATTATCTAATTAGACAGAATAATCGACTTATAATGAAACTTACATTCATTTCATTTTGACGAGCAACCTTAAAAGTAATTCCATTTTTTAATTCAGACGGTTTAGGATTTCTCACAATATAATACCCAAGAGCCAATTTATGTGCTTCACCTCTCATAATTTTCAGCCAAGGTTCATGAGTACCTTCTTCAATCGTATCAGGTTTTGTTAAAACGCCGAGGGTACGAGTACCTAATTTATCGGCTTTCTTTGCAAGCCTTATAATGGCTTGATTATCTATTTCATCTTTACAACTAATAGTCGCGACGATAATAGACTTTTCTTTCGAGATATACAATTCGACCAATTCTTCAATCAATCTTATGAATCTTTCATCTTCATCTCTTTCAACAAGACCTAAATTGACATGATAAATATAATAGGATTTATTAAAAAAATTGTTCTTAGACAATCTTCAGTCGACTCAGCCGTCGGCTGAATCGTGACTCTCATTTGAAATTAGGACCATAATTATATTATTAACATAATTAAATTAATATTGCAAAAATTAGATAATTATAATAAATAAAGTTTTCAGAATCCCTTTCAACTAAAAATTTGTAACTTTTATTTAGTTAAGAATTTCACGATTTGGAAAAGTGACTCAGTCACAGCTTAGTCATTTGAAAATTCCGGAGTCGACTCTACTTGATTTTTGCAGAGTCGACTCTGACTCTAACGGCTGGTACTACTAATTCAATCGAAATAATGATTTGTTACTTTAATAAGTTATAGAATAAACTTACGGATAATTCCGGGCAAGTCTATCAAACTAAGGTTTGGAATTTTAGGTCCCTTAATTTCCAAACAAACAACATTTTTCGTAAATTTTAAGGTGTTCCTGGATGCATCCTCATCATAACTTAAATCATTAAAATCAAAATCAAAAAATTCTTCTGGTTTATTGTTGGGATTCAAAAGTGCTTTTTGAGCACGACGAGCAAATAATTCCACGAGATCTTTATCTTTAATTATATTTCCAAATTTCGTTTCTTCAGGTCGAATAAGTTTTTTTTCATCAGCGTCGTACTCTTTACGTAAAGAAACTTGACATGACCAAATTTCAGAGGATTCAATCAAACGGATTTCCATGACACATCTCGTGCACGTACCCTCCGAGCGTGGCAACTAAAAAAAAATCACGAATTTATTTATCATTTTTCCACATTTGGAGAAAATTTATATGAATCTATTTTACCTGAACGCCGGAAATCGCTTCCAACAAACTACTTTTGCCGGCCGATTGATTACCACAAAAAACTACGGTTGGCAAGTCAACTGCGGATTGTGCACCCATACGACGCAATTTATTCAAAATTTCAATGTATTTTGAAGCATTCCTTGCGTAATCGGTTGCTGCGATGGTTTGTGTCATTTTGACTTTGGGAAAAAAAGAAAAGAAAAGAGAGAAGTTTGTCCAAACTAAATTTCTGAATGTTCAAAAAAAGGGTTATTTATATTAGAATAATTGTTTGATTTGCTTTTGTCTCCAAATTCCGAAATGGAGACATTAATTATCAAAGCAGATCAATTCTAAAATGGTTATTTGTTTTCAGAATTTCCGGAATTGTTGAACAATTACCGATGATAACTAACTATGTTAAGAAGTCTTACAAGCTTACACGGATAAAATGGACCCTAATTTTCTTTTTTCTTCAATGGGACAGAAAAACATATGTTGAAAGAACAATAGATTCCGACTCGTACTTTATGAACAGGTCAACCGAATAAATTTTCTGTATTACGTAATTACAACTCCTTATTGATAATCTCATCTCATCAAATTTCAATTTTCAGCTACGAAAAATATTTGGGTGGCAATTTCAAAAAAAACCAGCATAAATAAAAGGTTAACTTAACGTTAAGTTAAGATCAATTATTGGTTAAAATATATATATATATTATTATTATAAAATTTGACAAGTTATCCGCCCGCTGTTTTTTTTTGCTTAACCTAACGGTTAGGCTATGATCATAGAAAAAATAAATTGGTAATTTATAATTTTATGACTTAATATTTGTAAGACCAAGAAATCATTTGTGTCATGAGTAGGCAACGTAATGATTTGTCATCTCATGATTATATGAAAACTAAGGCGAAAAAATTTTCTTTTTTACACGTTCACTCCTCCTCTCGCAAAAGCCCCCTTTTTTTTTAAAAAAAAAATAATTATTATTTGCTTAAGGTGAGTTAGTAGATTAAACAAAAAAAAAAATTTAGCATGATAGATAATGGAATTATGGAAATAAATCCCATGCAAACGTCGTGGTACAACAATCAAAGAAAACTTTAACTCGATAGACCATAACTGGCATTTCGTCTAGCAATCATTTCAAAATTAGGAAAGAAGATAAATTCTAATGATCTTTCTATGTTGCTTTGCCGATGTTTCCTACATTTTATGAATTCTTTTTTGATATTTTCGACACTGAAGTGATGTGATTGTACCAAAATCGGCCAATATTAAAATATTGATGGTGTAACTCACGTGACCATTTTTTGTCATTATTTTATACACTAACGAAATCTTGGATTGACCAGAAAATTTTTTTTTTAATTTTTCGCTCATTTATTTGCAGCTCTTTGCCAATTTGTTCTATCAACAAAATCATGCCCGTTGCGTCAACTTGGCAAAGTGTAAAGTCCAAGCCTACGCAACCTTCCTTACGTCCTAATAATAATACTAAAGTGCTTGGAAACAAAAAGAATGATGTTTACGTGCAAAACGCCAAAAGACTAGTTAAAACCTCTGCTTTGTCCCAACATCAAAATAAACAACCCATAAAAAAATGGATCGTTATAACAAACGATCCAGAACAAAAATGTGAACGCGAAAATAATAAACTTGTTAACAAAAATCCCCCTTTTAGGAAATTTAACGACGAAAATTATGAAAATTCATTCTCTGCAAAAATTCAGTATCATCATGAGAAGAGGACTGTAGATAATACTACTCGGACGTCGGTGTTGAAGAATGATATTGACAACGTTTCAACAGAAAATGGAACCGTTTTAAATAAAGGTTGCGTTCCTCTACGATCGCATTACCATGGTACCAATCAAATTGTCACAAATAATAACGTAACACAAATGGAGTTGGCACGTTTTCCTAGTTATTCATCTACAAGTACTCAAAGTTCCCTTACAGACCAAACCCTTTACAATGGTTGTGATATCGGAAGCCAACCAACAAATTATACTTCGCCAATAATGACACCTACTGAAGAACAGACAAAAGAATCGGTATGTGAACAAGACGAAAATGTCCAAGGTGTAAAAACCCAGTATTGGATTACTTCTTTATATGACATTTATTTGGTAACACAAAAATTCAATCGTTCGGAGAATATGCACAATAATTACCTGGGTAAGTAAATCTCAAAATGAGTTAAAATAAAATTGTAAACAAGTGGATTTATTTTATTTATTTTTTTTTTTCAAACATTATATTAGACACTATCAGATATGTAATACTAGCGATCTGGGACACATCATATGGTATTGAATTTCATGATTGGATGGAACAAGTTTTACAAATGTCTGGAACAAATTGCAGAATTATTGAGCTCGCGCTATATTATCTCTTACGATTCAAGAGGTGTTTGAGCCATTCAAATGTTGAGTCGTATAAATTTCCTAGAAAATATATTCATAATTATTCAAGATTCACCGTCTCAAAGGAACCCTGTCCTAAAAGCCCTGACTCCATAAAATCATTACCTGCTCTGGTTTCCTCAATTATTTTAGCATGGAAATTTTATCAAGATGAGAATTTCAGAACTCATCATTGGGCATACTTCACCGGGTATTCCGCCGAACAACTAAATGTGTTTGAACGTGATTTCTTAAGAATGATTGATTATAATGTATTTATCAAAGAAAATTCTTTCAAGCAATGGTTACGATTTTTGCATTCTCATATGCAAGCTATCTGTGGACCGGGATTGAATGTTAGATTCGCATATTTCCTTCCACAAAATCGGGGAAGGATTAATGAGTTTATGAAATCTTTGAAGATGTTGAATATTGAAGAGATGGAACGTATAATGAAAGAAAATGTTGACCGAGGTAAAAAGAATGAAAGGGTTCACATATTAAATCTCGAAGATATTAAACGTGTTATGGAAAAATCATAATTTGTTATGCTGAATTGGAGAAATCAATATTTATGGGATAGTGAGATCGAAATTTGCATTCTGCTGATGTTATAATAGGGTCAAAATTCCAAACCAGGATTTTATTCACGCAATTGTTTAATAGGGAAAAAAAGCAAGTGGCTTAATTAGTATATATAAATTTTGTTAATGCTTCACATTACTCATTTCCCGGTATAATTAACATTTATCGGTGCAATAACCACATAAATTAGTAGATTTTTTTCATTAAGAATTTGCAAGCTTCAATCATATAGAAATAATTTTTTGTAAATATATACATAGTTTTATCTCGAATTTTTTCATATAAATATTCTGCGCTATATTTAATCGCGCCATTTGAATAATATCCTTCTTCCTTCATAACGAATAATTTGACCATGATCAATAATAAGGCTTGATTATTTATTAATTATTAATATGAAATTTTTTTTTTTTTTTTTTTTTTAGAAACATTCCTTAGTAAACCTGCCTTTCTAATAATACTCTTTAAAATGCCAAACGAAATTATAGATTTTTTACGCGAGTTCCTATTTAATAATAATAAATTAATAAATTTTTTTTAGCAGAATATGAGAACCGAATATATGATTAATCGGTCGATTAAAAATAATCGTTTCAACGATTTATCATCACCTATTCCAGCATTTTAAATTGCTAATTTAAAACATTATTTAATACATTACAAGGTTACGCGGAAGATTACATTTTTATAAAATACTGCGATACTTGCGAACCGTTAAAAGCAACAAGAAAAAATCAATTTTAAATAATATAATTTAGTTGGTTTTTCCGAATATTCAATATTGGACCAGATATTGCTTTCAACAATTACTTGTTGCATCTTTTCTCAAATTCGGATCTTATATAGAATGGTTAGAAGGAAAATGGTCAGCGTTATCAAGATTTCCTTCTATCTCATTAAATATTATGGATCTAGTGCCTCTATACACTTTTAATAAAATACTTAACTTTGGTAATAGATGCTAAAATCAATTTTTTTGTTTTAAAAAAAAAATTCAAGGATGAAAGAAAATAGCTTTAATAATTTTTTATCTTACCAAAAAAAAAGAAAAAAAAAAAAAAAATTCTTTTACCTCAAAAACAACCACCATCCGATCTTGACCTTCAACAATTATGGCCATATAAAATTTTACTTGCAACATATTTATACCTTCATTAATTATAACATCAGAAATTTTTGATTTATCAATAAATCTAGATACACTTCTACCATTCATATAAATAGTCTTTACTTGTATACCAACATCTCTAACTGATAAAATACTTTCTTCCTTTACTATGCTAAATTTTATCCAAATCCATATAATTATCATTGCCAGGGATATTGAATAAGTTATGGTTGTTTGATTCTAATAGCGAAGTTTTTTTTTTTTAAAAAAAAAAACGTATGATATTTTTTTTTAAAAAAAAATAAGGTTAAGGAGCTCACCATCAATCCTAATACAACGGCCAAAATAAATGCATAGATAACATCAAATAAACCGAAAAATGATTGATCTGATAACATAATATATTCTCTTGCATTATCTGCAAGGATGTTACATAAAAAATAAGGATTATTTGGTATAGGTGATATTATTGCAGAACAAGGTTGTGAAAATTGATTAAATTCTTGGTTTAAAGAATTTGACATATTTATATTAATGGGCACTTTGAAAATATTTTCTTTAGTTGAAAGAAACCTTACAGATCAGATCGAAAATTCAAAAAAAAATACTTAAATGATGATGAAATACCCGAAAAGGTTATATTAAGCGTTGAAAATTGATGTGTATTGCCAATGAATGTTAAACAGTTGTTAAAATTTTATTGATAAATATGGGCTAATTTTAAAGCTTTAAGAATAATCTTTGTTAATTACGATAACATCGTAAAAATCATGTGAAAAAAAGTGATATTCGATTTTGAATTTAAGGCAATCATATCACATCTAAACATATCACTTCAAACAATTTTATTTATTCCTGATTAACTGATATGTCGATTTTCGTCTATATTTGTAAGTTGCATTGTAATTCATCAAATCGGTAAGATAATTGAAGAAAAAAATAGCATTGTTTTGAAACTCGCAAATTTCCAAATGTATATCGCGAGAAATGCAATAATACCAAATAAATTTGGCTCGTCCGTCCGCTGTGCATATGCATACATTTTTTTCGTTCGGAATTTACTGAATTTTAATAAGAAAAAATTTTTATTTTTTTTTCTTTCAACAATGGGAAATAACACTATTGAGAAAAATAATGGAAAATTGCGGAGATTGTATATTTTTGGTGTCAACGATTGATGCAGGTTACCTTTTTAGAAATGTGAAATAATGGAATGAATAGACCAAGGAAGTTTTTTCATTTTGATTAATGCAAAAACAAATAGCGTGGATCCTCGAGCATTCTCATTATTCTTAATTTAGAAGAAAATTAAGTATTTTTCTTACAATATAAAACTTTTTTTAAATGACAAAACTTTGACCATGCATTTTTAGCAAAGAATGATAGAATGATTACGTTACGCATAATTTTTTTATCCTGTTACACAAATTTAGAATCGAATTTGACAGAGAAACCATCATCATACTCGAAGTTTAGTTGACCTGTAGTAAAAAGAATGTTGGTCCCTCCTCCAGAAACACAGACATCATCGCTAAAGAATTCCAAAAATCAATTTCCGATGAATGCATGAAATAAATTCTAAAACGACTCATCTGATAGGTACCAATATCATCGCTCCAACTACTTCTTGTAAATTAAGAAAAAGGGATCTTTGCCTTTTTTCTTTTTAACAAATTAATTCAAACGTAACAAATCAGACTTTCGGACTTCAAAATACACATGGAAATCGACATCAGATAATTGTTTCGGTATGACGTGACACAAGTAAGTGAATGTTTGATCTGCATTTTTGGCCCACCAAAATTTTTCCCCACAATTCCGTAAATCAAGATGTTCGAACTTTTTAATGGTTGGGGGGGATGACATGGAAGTTATGTCAACATGCGTTCATGCATATTGACGTTGTTATAATTTCCGCTATGTATGTATTAATTAATTTTATTCTGCAATGCACCGAATTCAACACCTTGCATTTGTCGTGCATTTCACCATAATGTTGTATAACCAAGTTCTTTAAAAAAAATCTATATTTAAAAAAAATGTTCCTCCTCAATACTCGTATACGTTTCACAATCTTTTATCGGCATCAAAGAAGTAAGATCGATCTGAAAAAGGAAACGAGAATCCAAAATGTCATATGATTATCTGTAACGTATCATTTTATTAAAAAAAAACAATGTGTTCAATTGTTTTACCGTCTGCAATGACTTGCATATCGTTAACGGCGTAAATTTGTTTATTTTAAGTGTGCCTTTTTGGTCAATTGTTTCACAGGTACAAAAGTGCTATGGGATAATGCGATATGACTGATTGATTTTCTTGATTGTGATAAATAACGAAGTGATTGAGATTTTTTGTAAATTTAATTACCTCCTAGTATTTTTTTTTTCCCCCTTTTTTTCCTTTTTTTTTACTGAATTTTCGTAATATTGAAAAAGAGGAAAAAAAGGGTTGACATACCTGATGCATATTCACATCAAACAACGTGTATCTCATCAAAGTATAACAATTTCAGGAATTTCCCAATAAAAATATTTGATCGTTGTGCTATGTAACAATTAAAAAAAAAAAAAAAAAAAAAAAAAAACGGATAAATTTAAATTGATTATTGTCCCACTATTTCATCAATGTCACAAAATCAAAATGATTGACAGGGGTTTAAAATTGTATTGTCAATACAATACCACGTAGTACAATCGTGGCTAATGCTTTGCTTATCATCGGTTATTGTTGCTTGTTTTTATCTCTATTTCTACTTTTTAATATCTTATTTTTTTCCTGAATAATTCATAAATGCATTAATAAAGATTAATTAAGCTGTTATTTTTCAAATATTTTATATACCTATTTAAATAATCATTAATAAATTATCATTTGTTTTTATTTAAGGTATTATAAGATCTTTTAAAAAAAACAGATTTAAACATCGGATCTGATTATATTATAATTATTTTAATCTGATCTGATTCATTATCATTTAGTGATTAAATTAATATCGATATCAAATTTCAAAATGGTTTATATTAATATTAAATCTTTAAATAAAATATGTAATCTTTTTAAATAATTTTAAATCAATTTGATTTTTTATATAGCTTTTAAATATTACTTAAAAACCAATATTAAAAGTTTATATTTAATTATAAATCCATATTATACTTTATTTAAATAATTATTTAAATTATAATATATCTTTTTTTAAACAATTTATTATAATTGATATAATTTATTATAGAATTATTATAAAATAAAATTAAATAAAAAAAAATTTAACCACATATTTTTTAAATCATAAGTGAGGTTTGTTAGGAAAATAGGATTCTGAGTATTTTTTATTAAAATTTTAATTTTTATTGTATTATATTTATTAGTAAGTTTTAATGTTATAACATATATTATAATTAGATATAATCAATAATATATTTTTATTTATAATGGTACAATTAGGATTTTTAAAATTGAATTAAATTAAATATTAAAACAATTTGGATTTTTTTTTAAATTAAATTAATCAAATATTTGTTAAATCAAATTAAATATTTGATTAAATATTTGGTAAAACATTTTTAATTAATACTATTAAATATTAAATAAGGATTATTTTTTAAAGTTTTAATTAAGAAAATTATTAGTAAAATATACTAAATATTTTAATGATAACTTTTATTAAATAATTTTAATAAAAAATGCTATCATAGTTTTAAAAGGAATTTTTTTCTAAAAAAAAACTTAATAAAAAATATCACTGTATTTTGAAAATATTTTTTTATTAAAAAAAAATAGTAAAAATATTTTTATTACTATTAAAGTAATTTTTACTAAAAAAAATTTAATAAAAACATTTTTGTTCAAAAGTGATTTTTTACTAATAAATCTTAGAAAAAATAACTTTTATAATTTTAAAAATATTTTAATATAATACTTTTTATAGCTTCAAAAATATTTATACTAAAGATACCTTCCTAAACTATTTGTAGAAATTCGAGTTTTAAGATAATTGAAATTAAACTATTTATATATAATAAATATCTTTACTTAAACTTTTAATAGGTTTTTCTAAACTTAATTAAGTTTAATCAAGTTTTAGATTTAAAAAAAAATTATTCTAAAGATTTCAAAAAAATTTCTAAATTTTTAAGTAACATATTAAAATAGATTTTGAAAATTTCTTTAAAGTTAAAATATATATTTTACTAGATTTCTTAATAAAAATAACTTTAAAATCACAAAGGTTTTATTGCTAAGGGTATCTTAATAAAAAATATCTTTAAAGTTATAAAAGCCTTTTTGATTTTACTAAACTTAATATAAAATTACAAAGGTATTTTTTATTAGATTTTTATTAATAAAAGATATTATTAAAGTTACAAATATAAATTAATAAAATATTTAAAATAAAATCATAATAATAATAATATAATAATATGTAAAAAATTGTATTTTTACTAATATTTTCTTAGTATAAATATATACAAACTGTAAAGATATTTTTAATTAATATTTTCTTATTATAAAATATTTTTGAAATTATAAAATCATTTTTTACTAATATATTCTAAGTAAAAGTTACATCTAAAGCTTTAGAAATGCTTAATTAATTGATTCAAATTTAATTGAATTAAATCAAAAATTAATTTGTATTAAATTAAATAATTTATTTTTTGATTGAATTAAATTAAATACACAAATTTGTTTTTGTATTTAATTTGATTTTCTATTGTTTATTTAAATATCAAATGAATTGCAAAACTCTAATTATTGTAATACATTTTAAAATTTTAAATTAATTATTATATTATTTTTAGTATTATTATAATTAATATACTTATTTTATTAATAAAAACTTTCATAAAATATCATAATTAATTTATAGTATTATAATTAATATTTTGCAATTGATTTAAATTATTATAATATAATAATTAATTATAAACCAAATATGATTTTTTTAGAAAAAAATTACCTAATTTCTTAGGCTTCTTAGGATAAATTTACAAAGTTTTATTAAAAAAATATATATATATTTATAAGTATTTATTAATTATATATATATATTATTATTCGCATTCATCACCGGACAGAATTGTAATCATCACATACTACAGGGGGGTCTGAAGCCACACAATAATTTATAGTATATTTATTTATAATAAGATTCTGATACTATAATGAGTATTGTTACATTTATTTCTCCGCCTCAAGTATATATATATATATATAAAAAAAAAAGCAGTTACAAACTAAACACTTTTTATTTAGATCAATAAAGTATAAAAGATAACAAAAAAAAGCTGTAACAAATTTTTCCCCCCCTTATTTTTCTTACTGATAAAGTGTTACTCTCGTAAACGAGTAAAGTTTAAGTAAAAAAATATTACCCTCGCACGGAGCAACAAAATTTTTAACAATAGTAGCGCATCGAAATCATTTTTAATGAACTGAAAAAATCAACTTTTACCGAGATCACTTTTTTGTTGCCCTGCCAACCAAATTTTTAAACCCTCATATACTTATTCAATCCACATTCCAACAATTTATTCTGCACGATAACAATTTTAACCACTTAAAGACTTGGTGATATATTATATAAACACGAAAGAAACGAACAAAGATTTTGTACTGCAAACTGCACATTTTATAACATATCATACGCCAATACTTTCTTTGACTTTACAGAAACACAACATTTTATAAAGTAAAAAGAAAACCTTTACTTGGCTTTTTTTTTTTAAAAAAAAAAAAATTTGTTTTTTTTTTCTTTTGATATTTCTTCACTGAAACCACAACCTTCAAAACGTGACATATCAAATCTAAAAAAAATTTACTCCTCATAAGATTCAAAGTTACATACATTTATATTACCTTCTAAAACTAACAATTTAGAAACAAGAAAAAAACGTAGACAACTCTACCGATTGCGCCATGGAACCACCTTCCTCGATACATGATTTCACGCACTTACCTCTAAATTCCAAGCGACGGCTTGAATTACAAAACCAGTATAACGCACAACTACAACAGCAGCAACAGCACCAGCAACCTAATGATGATATGATATGCGATAATGATGAGCCTCCATTTAAAAAACAACGTCCCGGAGTAGCTGCAGTTGCTACCAACGTCATATACAAGTTAACGGAGATTGCAGCTTACACTTTTGGTGCTTCTTCTGAAATTTATAACACTATAACTGGAGGTCAAGGAGGCAAAAAAGAACATAGTCAACAACCAACGAGAAATAGTTATGATTATGATCAATATTACGATGACGTTTTGCAAATCAAAACTGACGAAGATGAAGAAGAGAATGTATTGAATAATCATGAATTTGACAAAAAAAGCCATGTTTGGGCAGAGAATGAAGAGGATGAAGAAGAACCTCCGCCACCTTATGAGAGTTCTTGGTACATGGTAAGTTGTTAAAAACGATAAATATGTCAATAACACGTATAAAAAAAAGAACTTGAATTTGTCTAATTTAGTTCATAATAGTAATTTCGTTTCCTTGTTAATTTTTTAGCCATCACCATCAGTAACAACCGAAACGCAACAACCTACAAATCCTCAATCATCGGCGGAATCACAAGAATGTGAAACACCCGAACAACCTTCGAATCCACAAGAAATATTCGCAGGATTAACCACCACTTCACCTCCTCGACGACGACAATTTCGTGTTCGTCGTGGACGCCGATTATTACGTCGCAAGTCATCATCGGTCGACTTGACTAATAGCATCAAAAAGTCTTCCTCTTTCACTCAACTTGAAGACGAAGATGATATTTTTCTCAAGTTTAATTGCAAGTTGACAGATTTGATCGCTGAAGGTCAAGCCGCGCTAACGAGCACGGTTGACGTTACAGAAGTTGAAATGATGCTTGCAGAAGAGCGAGAACGAGATGAACGAATAATGAAAGAATTTGGAATACAAACTAGACGACCGCGAAGACTGACGGGTTCTTCAACATCATCTGATTACGATTATTATAGTTCAATGTTAGGGTCAGGCGGCCAATCAAGCACCTCATTATGTGACAACGGCAATGGAAAAAATAATTATATGCCGTCAACAGGACATTATGCTGATAATGGGTTTTCGACAAATAAGCCTGTTATTGGACATTCTCAATACGGGTCATCTGATGGATTTCATCCTTCCGGTGGATATACGAATGAATACGGATACATAGGCGGATCGTCTTCAACAGGAGGAGGACCTTCAACTATAAATAGATTAAGTAATTCGACGGCGTCTATTAGTAGTAATTCGACGACGTCTAGTGTGTACGGAAGTGGGCCTAGCAATGGGTTTGGACCATCTTTACATAACTTTGGACAGAACTCTTCGGGATATGGGTCAAATTCAGGATTTGGTTCGAAAGGGATATATCACAGTCGAAGATATTATTGAATTCAATTCATCAAAAGAATCAATCGAATTTATAACGAATTTAGATGTTATAATATATTATATTTTTATCGTTTTGAAGGAGGGGTTTAATTTGGGGGGATCGGAATAGAGGGGAACCGTTGTTGAGCAGTGTTTTTTAGACTGATCCTCCGAGTATCGGATTTTTCGTATTCAAAATTTTTTTATTCACGACGATACAAAAGTAGAGTGACCAGGGTATATTTTATAGTTTCCTAATTCACTTTAGAATATATTTTTCCTTTATTCTTGTTTTTATATCAACATATTTATAAATTATTATTCTCTCTTTTATTATATATACACACTTATTGTTTCTTGACAAGGTTGATTTGTTTGGGCACCGGGTCTCTTTTTTTTTAAAATCTTCGAAATATTATTTTGGGAATCTTTTGTTATTCCCGTCACTTTTTCTTTTGTTAAATATATTTTTTTTTTTCCTTTCCAAAATATATACACCTTTTTTTTGTACATATTTTTTCCATTTCATTTGATTTGGTTTTTTTCCTAATCTTAAAAATTGCCTCCTCTTTTTAATAAACACCACCTCCTTGTAATTTTAAATTTTTTTTTGCATGTCTGTATTTTCATGAACTTCTCTTAAACTTTCATTTGAGATGAAAGAAAATTTGCCTATTTTATTTTTTTCTTCGCGGCACTATATATGCACGCACAAAATTGACCTCACTACATTCTTTATTCCTTTTATTAAAAAACCGAAACTGTATATTTCAACTTGCCAAAAAAGTTACTTACTTTCCTTTTTATATATATATATATATATACCAAAAATTTTAATTTTGTTATAAAAAAAAATAAATAAAAACCACTTTTGATTGATAAAGTTTTTTGGTGTTAATTCATTATTTCATTATTTATATTGATGCAAGATGTGGAGAGCCATGTGGAAAATTTAATTTTGAATGTTAGCGTGAGATACATTACTATTTTAGTTAAATACGAAACGATAATTCACCAAATCGATATTAATTTTTCCGTTTAGTTATAACAAAGGTATTGTCTTTGATGTAAATCTCGGAGAATAAAAGAATGTAATTTAAAAAATTTATACTTGTTATTTTAACGCAAACTATTTTATCGTTCAAAGTGTAACAGTCGTTGACATCGTTGACTTATATATTTCGTTTTATTTTTTGAATTGGCATAAAAATATCAAAAAGAATATTTATAGATCATGGTTAATCATATGATTCGCAACGTATTTTTTATGGTAATAACGATACCGTTTATGTTTGTAATGTGTTATTAGTCGATTGTTTTTGGGATATATAAAAGTTTTCAAATCCAAAAGAAACGAAAAAGATTTTTAAGATTCAACATTATTATAAACAAAGAATTAATTACCCTATCAATTCAAAAAATGCTCCTAACTTATCGAACTTGATTTTTATTTTTGTGTATTTTATCACGATGAATTATCACGGTGATATTAAAATATGTCGGAGTAATTTCTTTCTACCATATCGCTTATAATACCGTTTATAGGATGGGCTATGTATTATTCATGTAAATATTTGCATATAAGGATTTTTTTTTTGAAAGCCTATTTCTTATGCATCACATGAATTGTATATATATGGTATTGCATATAAATTAGTATTGCCATTTCGAAACTCAAAACACACTATAATAAATTTTTTTCAGTTACAATAAAAAAATCCCTGTTAATATGTAAAAAATTCTTTATATTAATATAAGCCATATATTTCAAAAAAATATATATCATTTAATTGTAAAATATCTATCTTGATGTTTCTACTAGTTTTAGGTGTTAATTCACTAAAATAAAAATAGTAATTTTAGCAAATTTATTGGGTATTTTTGCAAAAACTAAACTTATCTTTTTATAATAATTCTTTCTATAAAATAAAAAAAGTCAATTAGAAAATTGTAAAATTTGAAGATTAATAAAATGTTTGATAATTTGATAAAGTATAAATTTTAACAAATTTAATAAAAATTATAATATTAAAATAATATATTTTAAAATCTATATTTAAACCTTATTTTTAAAATAAATAAATTGAAAAGACAATTAATTAATCTATTAATATTAATTTTAACTGTTTATTACTAAATAACATAATTATATTATTTAATAATAAATAGTTTTGATTAGATTATTATAACCTAATTACAACTAATTAACCTAATATTGATTAAATAAACCAATTATAATTAAATAACTTAGATATTATTAAATAACTAAATTGTAACTAAATAATTTAAATATTACTAAATATCTAATAAGATTATTTGGTTAAATAATAAGGAAGCTTACATATATGATGTAATTATTAAAAGAAAAAGGGGATCTCAAATATCTCATTTTTAAAATTTACCAATCAGGATAAAGATGCAGATCATATAATTTACATATGATATATTTAGGCGATTTGGTACAATAATAATCTGATAGATGTCATCTTAAAAAAAAAATACAATACAAAACATTCTAATATTTCAAACAATAAACTGAACTTTCTTGAACAATTTATGTATTAATAAAACATTAATATTTAATTGGTTTAATAGTTTAACATATCACAAATTTTATTAACTTCTTTTTTTCTATTATTTATAACTCACTCTAAATTTCTTACTCACCAACAGATTATGTTTTCTAATTATATAAGCTAAGTACTTATTGTCATTAGAAATAATTCTCTTCTATCACATGTATTTACTAAGTTACTTTACTGCAGCGAGTAAATTCCTTATTATCAAACTTTACAACCTTAGAAAATTTCACATCTTACATGTATCCAGAATGCTTTAGAATTACTTTACTTAACTTTATATACTTAAAAGTTTAGAGACTTGGAAAAAAACATAGAGAATTTATTTATTCTAAATAATGAACTCAATCGCAAGTTAGTGTAGTGATTCATGATCAAACTCTAGATAATAGACATATAGAAGAGAAAAGTAATTATTTTTCAAAGTTGATTTCTTTATTTATTACTTGAACTTGTAATAAAACTGAAACTCACAATAGAGTTTTAAACTTGCAAAATAAGTTAATTTACAACTTGAGCAAAAAGCTATTCTATTTATACAAAATTAATTTGCTACAGCTAACTAGTTTTTACGTTATAAACTAATTACATTTGTAATTACAAATGATAATATAATAATAATAATAATAATAACAAAGGTAATAGTTATAATAGAGATAATAATAATAATAAAAATAATAAAAATAACAATAATAATTAAAATAATGAAAATAAGTATTATAACAATTATCTATTACCAGGTAAATCCTAAAAATCAAAGAATCTAGAATTATGCAGATTTTCTAATTTATGATTAACATAAAATTAATTCTAGTAATTTCTGTAGATCATTTGATAATTCTTTGTAAATCAACTTTTCAATAGTGAATATTTAACTGGTAACATTATTCAGTTAATGTAAATATAACTAAAAAAACATCAATAGAATTGATAAGTAGTTTTTTTACTTAATTGATCATTCTCATTATTTTGAATGTTGATTTTTTTTATATAAAGCAATAATAAAAAGAGTTAAAAATTATGTATTGCAATTAGAGTAGTAGAGATATGTATAAGTGTTTAAATCAATAAAAGAATATTAAGCATTATATCTGAGTATTTTGAGTTTATTGCAATATTCTAATATATAGTTCGCAATATAAATATCTAGAATTTATCATGACATATAAAAGTATCGCAAAGTTTATTTTTTTTATTTCAAATTTATATTATCAATAGTTTATTATATAAAAAAAACATATTAAAGAATTAATAATTTATTATATACCCATTTTTTTCTATAATCATACTAATCTGATCTGACATACTATCTGCTAAATTAAAGAAAATATTTTGATTGAGATTTTCCTATTCTCTTTAAATTATGCTTTAAAAAGCATTTGCATTAAATTTTTTTCTCTAATCCAATCATTAATCTTTTCCTTTAAGAATTGTCTATAAATTTTTAATTGGATTTAAGTCAGTAAAGTTGGTAAGCCAATTAATTACTAAAATATTATTCGTAATAAAAAATTGATAGAATAGCTTCACAGTATATGTTGATGTATTATCCTGTTGAAAACGCCATTTATTACTAGTATAGTTAGTATTAGAAAGCAATTGTGATTGAAGAATTTTCTGATATTTTTCAGCATTTATCTTTTCTGTAAATAATGCTACATCAATTAGTTCTTGATGGCTAAAAGTATTCCAAACATGAACTTTATATGAATATTTTATTATAGGACATAATAAATATGAATTACTAATTTTATAGCATACAAGTTAGATATTTCAGAATGTTTGAAAAGTACTTTTGTCAGAAAATATTATATGAGACCAATCATCTTGGCTATAGTTTATGATCCATTGAAAATGAGCTTCAATATGATTTAGCTTAAGAAATGGTACTGCTTGTGATCGATAAATAACATAATTAAGTTTATTTTTAAGGATATATTTGATACTTCAAGTTGATATGTTAAGTTCTAGATATATGAAATTCAGCTTTTTTGTTATTAAAGCTAGAGTAGTTATATTATTAACTTGGAGAAGGTGACCAAAATATTAGCATTTATTAGGGATAAAAAGAAAAGGATGACCTAGACTAGGCAAATGTTCAACATTTCCCATTTCTTTTAAATAGTTGACAATATCATATACTGTAGAATATAGATACCTAGTTATTTTAATTATTTCAGAAAGCTTTCGTATATTTTTAATCTATAGTTTCTTTAGAATTAGCTATCTTGTCTCAAATACTGAGGTGAACGTTATTTATTATGTATTGCTACTGACAACAATTATGCAAAAAATTTGGCATTTATATTTATAGCTAAAGAATTGCTATTTTAAATTTTATTTCTGTTAAACAGAAATCAGTTTAATAATACTTTTTTTGTATTCTTAATAAAAACTCCAGATATTTATGTTGTGTACTATATAAAGCAGATTTAAAAAATG